AACAAATTGAAGAGGAATGGTGTTACATTCATTGTCAAAAAGAACATATCCAGATCAGTCATGAGGTAGACTGCTGTCTGTAATATGATAAATCTGACAGTATTCCACTACTATTCATTGGGTTTTCTGTGACTAAACATTCAGAAGTTGTCCCCCTCTCCTTCTTCCTAGCTTGTGTCTTACTTAGCATATGGTCTATTCTGGAGAATGTTCCATGTGCTCTGGGATAGAGTGTACATTGTGCTTTTGTTAGTTGATGTGCTCTGTCAAGTTGGTTAGTTGTGATTGTGTTGTTGTTTAGTTCTTCTGTGTCTTTTTGAGTTTCTATTTGTTCCAGTCTTCATTGAAAGTGATATATTAAATTTTGCTATTATTGTGTAGTTGTCTAATTCTTCAGTTCTATTAGAGTTTGATCTATGTATTTTAAGGCTCTTTCATTGGGAACACAGGTATTTATGATGATCATGTCCTCTTGTTCAATTGACTCTTTAATCATGATACTATGTTGTTGTTCTCTTATACTGGTTTTGCCCTAAAATCGATTTTATCAGAAATTAATATTGCTACTCCTGCTCATTTTTTTAATCTCTACTAGAGATTAAAAAAATACTAATATATTTTTCCATCCTTTAATTTATTTTGTTTTTGTCTCTGTGTCTAACTAAGGTTTGTCGTTCATAGACATCATATTGAAAGATCCTCTAAATTGTCTCTTGACTGGCGCATTCTGCTGCATGCTATCTCTTTACTGGTGCATTTAATTAATTTACATTCAGTGTATTTGTCAGTAGGTGTGAATTGATTGCCATCATTTTGATTTGTGGTTGTTTTTTTTTTTTGGGGTGCTGCTGGTTTCTTTATTCCATGGAGTTTTCTGTGCTGAATTGTGGGCTTGCTTTTCATTTTCTTCATTACTATTGTTGTAATAGTTACTAAATCTTTATGATTTTCCTGTTTTTTATTTGGATGAGAAAAGCTTGATTTTTCTTTTAGGTTATCCTGTAATATGTTAATTTCTTCCCCAGTTTAGACATCTGTTTTATCCAGAAAGCCACTTGATTTCCTCCTAATTGGAAGTTCTTCAACTACACTATTCCTTCTTGTTACTTTGTATTTGTCTTTGTTACAGATTGATATCTCTGGTGGCTATCTATTTTCTATGTGGTGTTGGATAAAGCCCTGGACTGCAAGGTCAGTTTAAACTGCAAGGTTGACAGTTCAGACTCACCAGCTTCTCCTCAGAACCCTAGACAGGGTCACAGTGAGTTGGAACTGATTGGACCTTGAGGGCACTTAACAACAGCAACAACAGGATGCTTCTGTATCTGGATTGAGTCTGGATAGGGTTGTTATGTTTGCTAATCTCAGGTTGTCGCTCCTTTTATTGTTCTCTGTCTAAAGAACTCTCCTTAGTATTTTTTCAGAGTTTGGTCCTTTAATTTCTGTTCATCTGGAGATGTCCTAATTACAGCTTCATTTTTGAGGAATGATTTTGCTGGGCATATGGTTCTTGGTAGGCAAAATTTTTCCCCTAAGTTTATATGTTGTTAAATTGCCTTTTAGTCAGTTCCAACTCATAGTAACAATTTATAGGATTTCCAAGGAGTATATGGTGGGTTTGATCCGTAATCATGTGGTTAGAAGTCCAGTGTTTATCCTAAAGTGTCATTTCATTTCACTGTCTGTATAGTTTCTGCTGAGAAATTAAAGCTTAGTCTTGCTGTTTTTCCTCTGTAGGTAGCTTTTCATTTTCTTTCCTTGTCTTTAGTATTAGAAAGTTTGATTATGATAAGTCTTGATAAATTTCTTTTGGGGTTTATTCAGCTTCTTGAGTACTTTATCATCTTGTCTTTCATGATGTTAGGGATGTTATCTTCTAACAACTGTTCAACAATTTTCTTCTTTGTCTCTTCTGGTTCTGGAATTCTGATCACACATAAGTTGCTCTTTCTGATGTTATCCCACATAAATCTTAGGCTTTCTTTGGATTTTTTTCCTTTTTTCTGTTCTAGCAGATTGTTTTTGAGAAATTTGTTCAAGCTCACTAATTCAGGCTTTCATTGATGCATATCTAGTTCTTTGCCCTTTCAATGTATCATCCATTTCTGAAATCATAGTATTAATCTTCTGGGTTTCCATTTGCAATTTTTATATTATCTCTAATTTTTTCATTTCTTTTGCCCACTTGCTCTCATATTATCTCCCTGAATTCTTCTATAGTTTTCTTTTTTTGTGTTCTTGCTTTCCTCTGTCGTTTTCTTGGTCTTTCTCAGTCCGTTGAAAATGCCTAAGTGTCATTCTTTTGAATTCCTTATTGTGTAGTTCCAATGCCTTTTATTCCTCAGAAATGTTTTCTGGCTCTGCATTTTAGTCACTTGTTTGAGCCCCTCTGACTTGTTTCTTCATGTGAACTGGAATTTTCTTTTGTGTCCAAGACATTGTTGTGTTATTGTATTTGTATTTAATTGATGAATGCATGTTGGTTTGTTCTTAAGCACTCACTACCTGTCTCCTGGTGGATCTGGCCAGAGAATGGAAGCATGTGCAGAGTTCTCCATTTGCTGTTTGTGCAGCACACTTCAAAGTGAGTTTGTCTGGTGTTGGCTGCTGTCTTGTTGATCAAGTGGTACAGGAACTGGTGTAGTGGATCTTGCCCAGTTGTTGTCTCCTGTTAGATGTAACAACAAGAAGAAAATAACATAAGAAAAAAAACACAAAACATTGTGTGTTTTATACCACTGTTTATCACTGGGCATTTAGGTTGTTTGCATCTTTTTGCTATTGTGAACAGTGTTGCGATGAACATGGTTGGTGTACCTACATCTATTTGTATTGTGTCTCTTATTTCTCTAACATGTATACTTAGTAGAAGGATTGCTGGGTCATATGGTATTTATATTTTCCACTCTTTAAGGAAGCCGCATGCCATTTTCCACAGGGATTGCATTATTTTACGGTCCCACCAGCAGTGTATTATGATTCTAGTCTCTCCACAATCTTGCCAGCATTTGTTGTTTTCTGGTTTGTTTGTTTTTAACTTTGCTGTTAATGCTGGAATTAGATAATAATTGTATTATTGTTTTGATTTCCATCTCTGTAATAACCCTAGTAGTATAGTACATTACTATTTGGGCTGCTAACCACAAGGTTAACAGTTTGAATCTACCAACTGTTCTGCAAGGAGAAAGATGAGGCTTTCTGCTCCCATAGAGATTTACAGGGTTGGTATGAGTCAGAACTGACTCCATGGCACAGAACTACCACCACCACCACCAATGGCTAATGATTGTAAGCATTTCTTAGAGAGACTTTCTTGATGATAGATTGTTGGGGAAGGGTAAGATATGGGGGCTTTTATTAGTTTTTTATGTTGTAACAAAGTACCACAAATGTGGCTTAAAACAACAGAAATTTATTTTCACCCAGATCTGGGGAACGGAAGTCTGAGATCACTATTACTGGACATACAAGAAGTTCTAGGGGAGAATTCAGTTTTTCGCTTTTCCAGCTTCTGGTGGCTGCCAGCATGCCTTGGCTTGTGGCCACAATGAAGTACTCTTCATCTTCACATTGCTTTCTGCTTTCTCCTCCTCTCTCTTGTAAGGATACTTGTGATGGCATTTGGGAGCCACCTGGGTAATCCAGGACAGTCTCCCCCTCCTAGATTAATTTAGTCACACCTGCAAAGTCCTTTTTTTCCCAAACGAGGTAACATATATAGATTCTAGGGATTAGAACATGATACTATTTTGGAAGGGAGGCATTTTTCAGCCTACCACAGTCTACTTTCTGTCCTCAAAGAGTAACATCTGCCCTACATGCAAGCTACATTTACCCCATCTCAACATCCCCCAAAGTCTCAATCCGTTCAATTTCAGCTCTTAAGTCCAAAATTTCAGCATCTACATTAGTTCTAAGACTGAGTATGATCCATCCTGGGACAAAATTTTTCTCCTTCTATATAGTTTCATGTGAAACTAGAAAACAAGTTGTCTGTTCACAAAATATACTGGTGGGGCTGGCAAGGTATAACAATTACAGACACTCCCATACCAGAAGGAGGTGGAATTTCTCATTTGCACTGTATATTATATTCATTGCTGTTGTCATATTGTAATTTTTTCTTTCTGTTTTCCCTTCCAGTTTATAAGGTCTAATAGACCATAAATCCATAAAACAAATAGAATTTTAAATTTCTTGCCTACTTCATTCCTGGCTTCCCCACTACTAGTATTAACTCATAGGATTCTGACTTATAGCAACCCTGGTGTGGCGCTGTGGTATAAAGCACTGGACCGCAAGGTTGGTTTGCGTTTGAACCACAAGGTTGGTGGTTCAAACTCACCAGCTGCTCCTTGGAAACCGTTTCCTATTCAGGGTTGCTATGAGTTGGAACCAACTGAAAGGTACTTAATAACAACAACATAGAACAGACTAGAAAGAACTGCTCCCTACAGTTTCTGCGGCTATAAATCTTTACAGAGGCAGACTGCCTCATCTTTCTTCTGAGGTGCGGCTGGTGAGTTCCAACCACTGACCTTAGCAGCCCAATGCTTAACCCACTGTGCTACCAAGGGTCCTCCCATAGGGTTAGGTATGTCATTTCTGTGCCTCTATTAAATCGGATGCTTATTTCTAAAATTATACTTCATGCTCATTATCGTACTAGTGTCGGAATGCACATTAGATTATATATTCCATGAGAGCAAGGAGCATACCCTATCATCTGTTATCCAGTGCCTGGCACATAGCTGAAATTTAGGTTTGAATGAAAAACCAGTTATTTGCTTTTCATATTCTACTTTAAACCACTTTTGATTACCTTCATATTTTCAGATTTTACATAAAGGGTTTTGCAGACACTTCTATATGACACACATGATTTAAGCTATGATTGTTACTTTTTAGAATAACTTAGCTTTTGACCTTTTATTATTATTAATCAGTACTAGGATTTCTTTCTAATTTTTTTTTTTTTTTTTTTTATTTAAACTTAAGTGATGGAGTCGCCTGTGCTGGAAAGTGGCCCACTTTTTACTTCAGGAATTAAGAGACATGTGAAAGGCAAAAGGATTTCAAAAACAGCCACGTTGAATGTTTCTCTAGCTTCAAAAATCAAAACAAAAATAATAAGTAAGTACCACTAGTTTTGAAATGTACTCAAAATATTACTTTTTCCTAGAGAAAAGTATTTTATCAAGTATACAAATAGACTAAAATGATTACAGGTAGTCCGTGACTTAAGAAGTATTTGAATTACACCGAACTGCACTTAATACCATCAATTTTTTTGGGGGGTGGGGTTTCAGTACATCTTATCATTAGTATTATATACTACATACAGTATTACTGAGAATAATTTGTTGATGTTCTTATTCTCATGCCAACCCCCAAAGACAAATAAAAATCAGATTTATAAAGATACTTATAATAAAAAGCAATAATGAGAACTAGAGAAGAAAGTCTGTTTGACTTACACCAGAAACGACTTAATAAGGAGTAGTTGGAACATAGCCCTGTCGTCAGCGGGAAACTACCCATGTTTATTTTGTTCATAGATACCTTTTTCATTTGATCCTTTTTGTCTCCTTTTACTCATATTAGTTGGGTAGTTGTGATGATTTATCTTCAGTGGTGCAAGCTGAATTTTTAGTAGTGAATGCTGAATGGCCAGAGCTATCTCCTCTGTGCAAATCCTACAGCCTTACGGTTTCTAGCTCTGTTCTCATGAACTTCTACATTCCTAATGGATCTTATTCTTCATCTTCTTTCCAGCTTTCGTGTTTTTAACTCCAAATTCTGGGTACATTATTTTAAAAATCCCATCTATATTTTCATTCTATTCTTTTTCAATTAAAACATATGGAGAGAAATATACTTTGTCTAATATAGTTTTATTTAAGAATAGGAATTGCGTTAGATATAAGTTCAATACTAACTCTTACAAATCTTTTTGCAGACAATTCTTCGATTTTAAAAATTTCTTTAAAGCACAATAACAGGGCATTAGCTCAGGCTCTTAGTAGAGAGAAAGAAAATTGTCGAAGCCTTACCACTGAAAAGATGCTGTTGCAGAAAGAAGTGGAGAAACTGAATTTTGAGAACACATTTCTTCGCTTAAAGCTAACTAATTTGGTATGAATACTTTGTGTTAAAATTCTAAAGCATAACTAAAATCTTTTAATTACATTCTTATTGAAACTCTAAAAATACTTTTGAAATCTCCAGTTATTGTAAAAATAATTGAAAGTCAATGTGCCAGGTAAAATCTGTGTTAAAGGATAAACTGCTAATAGAATAATAAAGTAGGTGGCTTAAATCTGTATTCTAAGGGTGGGCTCTATAAACTAGTATATTACCTTGTTGTTGTTAAGTGCCTTTGAGTTGGTTCTGACTCATAGCCACCTTGTATAGGGTTTCTGAGGAATGGCTGGTGGATTTGAACTACTGACCTTGCGATTCACAGTTCAATGCTTGCCCTACAGCTCCATACCAGGACCTCCAGTATATTACCTTGGTAACATTTCATTGCTTATAAGCAAAGCTAAGTGCATTATTACATTTTAAAAAGTTCCTCCATCAAACTGGAAGGAGGAAAGTTTGTTTGTATTCTTCCTTAATCCCAGTATTTCCTTGGCCATAGCCACGTTGAATGAAAATTAAAGTAGTTGCTTTTCCTTCCAACTCCCATTTCTGTTCATGAACAGGGCAGGAAGAACCAATGGTTAGCTAGGCTATCTCTATAGATTCTAAATCTAAAATGAGTAGAAATTAATTTAAAATTGGCTAATTACCCCTTATACTTGAGCGTTAAATTCCTATAGCTGACAAACTATATTCACTTTCCATGTAGTAGGTTATGAAAAGATAAATGTTTGTAGGAAAATTTGTGATTCAGAATGTACATATGAGGTGGCTATTTGGATTGTACAATATAGAACCCTATCAGCTTAATGTGATCTCAGTTATTTTCTAAGTCTACTCAAAGTGGAGGTATTTGTAAATGTGTGGTATGATAATAAACTCTAAAAATTGATTAAAAGGGGACTTTATTTTACATATGCAGAATAAGAAGCTGATAGATATAGAAGCACTCATGAACAATAACTTGTTAACTGCAATTGAAATGAGCAGTCTTTCTGAGGTAAGTAGAATTTGTATATAAGTGTAATGTCTATTATTGAAGATAATTGAGATTAAATTACATCAAGGTTATAGGGATTTATATTTTAAATTTTTTAGAAAAACAATACCAATTTTGACTGGCTGATATCACATTGTCATTGGTATAAACAATTGCTGAAATTATTATTATTTTAAGAACAAAAATTTCTTTCTCACAGTTCAGGAGTCTGAGTCCAAATTCACAGTGTAGCTCTAAGAAAAGATCCTTTCTTGTCTGTTACAGTTTCACAGAGCCCGCAGTCTTTGGCTTGCAGATTGATCAGCCTCTGTTGTCAGCCTCTGTCTTCCCAATGTGTCTGTGTGCCTGGCTGTGTCTAATATGCTCTTTTTTTTCCTTAACTTTTTATTGTGAACTGTGTGAAGGTTTACAGAGCGGGTGATCAGTTTCACATTCAGAAAGTCATATACTTGCAATTGCTGAAATTAAATAAAAATTAGGGTTTGATTAAAAGTAACATAGGATTAGACAGCTTAGTGGAACAAAAACCCATTGCCCATCCAGTTGATTCCAATTCATAGCAACCCAGCAGAACACACTAGAACTGTCCCTTCAGATTTCTAAGGCTGTAATCTTTAGGGAAGCAGACCTAAGATTTTTCTCCTTCAATGTAGCTGGTGAGTTTAAACTGCGTGTGTTTGGTTTGCAGCAGGGTGCTTTAACCACTGTGCCACCAGGGCTTTTGTTATTGTTAGGTGCTGTTGAGTTGGCTCTGACTCATAGTGACATTTTGTACACCACAGTGAAACACACTGCATGGTCTTGCGCTAGCCTCACAATTTGTTGTTCCATTTGAGCCAATTGCTGCTACCACTGTGCCAATCCATCTTATTGGGGGTCTTCCTCTTCTTCACTGACCCTCCACTTTACCAAGCATGATGCCCTTCTCCAGGGCCTGGTCCCTCCTGATACCATGTCTTTAGTTTAAGAGATGAGGTCTTGCCATCCTAGCTCCTAAGGAGCATTCTGGATATACTATTTTCCAATACAGATTTCTTCTGGCAGTCCATGGTACTTTATTTCTCCTCCCACACCATAACTCAAATGCATCGATTCTTCTCTGGTCTTCCTTTTTCATTGTCCAACTTTCACATGCATGAGACAATTGAAAATACCATGGCTTGGGTCACATGCACCTTCGTCCTCAAACTGACATCTTTGCTCTTGAAGACTTTAAAGAGGTCTTGTGCAACAGATTTGCCTAATGCAATAATACATCATTTGATATTTTGACTGTTGCTTCTATGATAGTAGATCCAAGCAAAATGAAGTCTTTGACAACATCAGTCTTTTCTCCATTTGTCATAATGTTATTTATTAGTTCACTGGTGAGGATTCTTGTTTTCTTTACATTGAGGTGCAATCCATACTCAAGGCTATGGTCTTTGATCTTGATGAGTAAGTATTTAAAGTCCTCTTCACTCTCAGAAAACAAAGTTTTAGCTACATATCGCAGGTTGTTAAAGGGCTTTTTTAGTGAGATGTATTGACTCCTATTGGACTAGAAATACATAAAATAAATTAGTAGAAAGTAATGATAGCGCTTCAAATTAGGGTATATATGTATTTATATATTTGTTTTTGTTGTTCAATGCCATTCAGTCAGTTCTGACCCATAGCAACCTTGTATAGGTTTTCTGAGGAGCATCTGGTGAGCTTGAATCACCAACTTTGTGGGTCACACTGACTTCGCAGTCCAGAGCATTAACTCACAGGGCCACACCAGGACTCTCTGTATATATTTAAAATGGACCCATTGAAAAGACTTTGGGGAAAATGGAATCAGACCTAGTTTTATACCGTCCTCAAAAATAAATTTGAATAACAGCAAAGATGAAAAATGGAGAAGGCAATAAATGCTGGCGGGGATGTGGAGAGACTGGGACACTCTTGCATTGCTGGTGGGA